TGTTCTACTATATGCATCAATCTATAGCTCACCATTTTCTCTAGTATTTTACCAATGCAACACGTTAAGCTTATAGGACGGTAACTGTTAGATAATGTGGGGTCTTTATTTTCTTTAAGCAACGGAACTACTATGGCCTTTTTCCAGTTATTAGGATAAGTACCACTACTCCAAATACGATTATATAGATTTAACAAGAACGTTTTTGCATCGCATATTAAATTGGTAAGGAATTCATATGGAATATTATCAGGTCCGGCAGATGATCGTTTCGGTTTATTCAGGACACGGTTTAGCTCACACATATTGAATGGCGAATTATAATCGAAATGTTCATTGGTACAGAAATCAAGAGGAGTCTCTTTCTGTCTTTTGGTTGTTAGGAATTTAGGATCATAATTATTAGTAGAACTAGTAGCAGCAACAGTGTTAGCGAGTAATTCTGTTATGTTGTCAACAGATGATACAAGAACATTGTCTTCCATGAGATATTTAATAGAAAAAAAGGATGTACTATTTTTAATACTTTTTACCATTTTCCATATCTGTGAGCTTGGAGTATTGGAAGTTATGGAAGATACATAGTTATTCCATGAATTCCTCAAGTATCTGTCGTCTAGCAACCGCTCTTAGCTTTTTAAAGTGGATAAGATTTTCTTCTGTTCTATGTCTATGGAACAAATTAAAGGGGGATTTTTTATTACGAATTGCTATTGCTATATCCTTACTCCACCCAGCTTTCTTTAAAAGAATACCTGATGAGCGTCGAATTGATCTTTCGGCTGCCTCTAATATCATTGCACAAAACGATTTAATATCATTATCGATTGCTTCCGAAGCAGATGGTGTACTAACAGACATCTGATATAACTTCCAATTAGCTTTTTTGCATCAGTCAGTGCAAAGTCGGTAGTGAATACTGTTATGCAAATCATTTATTATCTCCCACATAAAAAGTGTAGCAATCTGGGGAGAGATAATTGACAAATCTATGACTGAGAAAGAACTAGACCTTAGCAATTGCCAATCAAATTCAGGCAAGTATACATTACATATAGTAATATTAAAAGGTACTACTAAACGAAGTGCAACCGCTTGTATGTTATTTGATAAATTGACAGAAACAGCTTTCATGGATTCATTAACTAGAATAGCAACACCACCACTAGCTCTTAGAATTTTTTGAAAATCTTTCCTATAACTAAAGTATCCTTTGATGAAATAGGGCTGCCCAGGATGAAGATGGGTTTCTGCAAGCAAATACATACAGGGGAATATCGATTTAGCAACAACTTCAAATCACAGTAATGATGATAATTAATAAGATAATATAGGACAATAGAAAATTATTGAAGCTCCGAAGAAGAACCCTCTTGTGACCAGTCTGAGAGGTCAATGACAGGTGTCAAACCACATGGTCTAACCTTTTTGATCAAACCATAATTAAATTATGTAGAGATGCCAGATCTTGACAATGATGATTGATAATATTAGAAATATCCTGTTTATCTTTACAGTTTCTTATGAATTGACAAAAATTATCATAGGAAATGAGCAAATCAGTTAGCTTGTCATTTATGGCTGTCTTATGTTTTTTCGGAAGAGGTTTCAACCCAACCCAACCCAACCCATAGATAAAACCGAACTAGTAGACGAAGATACTTTTCTTTTTCTGTCCTCTGCTGAGGTTACTATATCCATTTTATGTACTACAACATTATCTTTAGTAACTATTATATTTTCAAGCTATTCCATTGCATTATGCACATCAGCTGTAGTAATAACAAAATGTTGCTCTTCCATTTTATTAGGACTCTTATTGGCAATATGTCCCACTTTTTTACAAACAAAACATCTGATTTCATCAGTTGCCAAGAAAAGTCTAAAAGTATTTTCTTGCTGTTCTATTAAAACTGAACTAGGTAGAGGAGTATCATTTTCTAAACCAATGTAAACTTGTCAGCAAAAACTCTGAATATGCCAATAGATTTTAATTTCTCTTGAGTAATATCATGAGGTAATGAGGAAGAAACATTTGATATTATAACCCGTTTCGTCTGGCAGAGACAAATTTACCGTTGATGGTGATTCTTCCATGTGATGTCATAAAACGTTCAACGTCCTCTTTAGATGACAAATAGATGCAAATGCGATTGTTAGATATTCTAGAGGCGAAACTAGAATATCACCTAAACCGATAATATAATCATTCTTGATCTCTAAAAGGAAAGATACACCCTTTATCTTTAACTACATTGGCGAAGGACATCTTATTATTAGTAGTAGTAACATTAATAGTAGAAATTGACTTATTCAAATTGTTTCTTCGTACATTCTACAATGAAAGTATTTGGAGAAACTGCTTCCGCGATTTCAAGGACATTTCAAAGAAAATAAAGCTACTCAAGATATCAATAAGCAAATCAACAAACGAAAAGAAACGCACAAGTATAAACCGAACTTTTTATGCTTTATAATCGTCCCCAAAGTTTTGTGAAACGGTTTGTTTTAACGCAAAAGAAATACAGTCGAAGAGAAATTAACTTAAAACAACAGCGAATTCGTTTAATTGTTGTAAATGGCAACCGTCGACAAAAACTTTACAAAGCTTTCAAAGTTAGTTCCTGTTTTTCAAATTAACGGAAAGTCAAACTTTAGCCATTACAGGATATTAGCATAAACGAGCATCGCTTTTTGGGAGCGTTCGGCTGTAAAATGTCAATGAGATATTCGATATATTCCTTTTCAATTTTATATTCACTCTTGAATTTCTTAAAGGTCATCAGAAATTGATGACCTTTCTCATAGAAATCGATACAACTGTTGATCCGTTAACACGCGTCGAACGTTTCACGAAAATATCAAATTTAAAACCGATTATATGACTATTTTGGAATTTATCTTTTACGAATTATACCTCAGCTAATGAAATATTCGTGTGCATTTCGGTCACTATCGTAGTGGTTGTAAATTGAGTAATGAAACAATATTATTTGTTCGATTCGAAATTGTAAATTAATTAATTTTAGTTCGATATGAGAGCAAATATTGCCCGGCGATCATTTCCACTTTATTTTATGCAATCACTGTTTCAAGTTTGTACTGAAAATTGAAAACTTTACTTTACTTAGCACTTTAAATAAATTAATTAAACTAAAATCTTTTTTCTTATTTGTTTCAGGAATGTTTTCGAATAAGTTTCAAATCTTTTTTTACATCCTAATATTTTGGGGTCTATTTTTATCGGTTACCGGAGGATCAAGAAAAGAAAAGGATCGTAAGAAAGATCGTTACAAGACGTACATAAGCACGAATCCGTGTAAAAGTGAATCTCAAGACGCCCCAATAAATTGTTTCTGCAATCCGGACACGAATCCAGGGAACGCAACTAACATAGAATGTTGGGTTTTCGGCACGAATTTGACTCCAGATTACAGTATATGGAACCATTTCGCATCACAACCTCGGATACAAAAGATGCAAACACGCGTTAGACCAAACGGAATATTCAACTTCATTCCGACGAAAGCCATCGTTCATTTGAAAAACTTGAAATCGTTCGAAGTCGTTTTCGGTTCGATCGATGAGATTCATCCGTTCGCGTTTGCAAACTTGACGAGTTTGCAAATCCTACAGCTGGCAAAGAACCAAATTGTCAATTTAAGTCATCACGCTTTCGCCCATTTACCTAACTTAACCGAATTGTATCTGGAGGATAACAGGATAGCCGAGTTGAAAAGAGGCGTTTTCGTCGGTTTACCGAGTTTGCAAAAATTCGATATCGCAAACAACAATTTGAGCATCATTCAAGATCACGCGTTTCGAGAATTATCCCATTTAATCGAACTGGATATGAATGCTAATTATATTAATGTTTTAACTAAAGAAATTTTTACCGGATTGAGTGAATTGAAAAAATTGGATTTGAGCAATAATTCGATAACGATGTTGGGCGATCTTACATTTGCGGAACTTTGGGTTCTTGAAGTAAGTAAAAACATATTTAATTATTAATAATTTATTTTGTTTATATATATATTTACCAGTGTCCATTTAAGTCTATCTTATAAAACTATTTCGCAGAAGGATATCTTAACAGGTTTTAACATTGGTGATATGAAGACCATGAGCTTAATATATTTTTGACATTTCTAAATTTGGTTAGAACTGCAATCAGGATGAGATATGTAGCCCGAATGTAAAATCCGGGCTAAGTGCAAAAAATGAAGTTTTGAGATAAATGATAAAAACTTCCTAGGAACATATTCTGCTTAAATATTTAACTTAACTTCACCTGTCATCAGTAAAGGGCTTCACTTTGTACATACCTATGAAATTTGAACTAAGAATACCAACATGCCTATTTTATATGTAAACTTTTATTTAAGAAATTATGAAAAGGGCTATGTGCCAATACTTTTTTGGTAAAAAGTGGGCTAAGATACCAGTTTAAAGTTCGGTATAATGATAACTGAAGTGACTGAACTGTATGAATATAACACTTTATTTCATTGTTTGAATGGTGTTTTGGTGAAGGGGGGTCAAATTTTTGGAGTAGGTGGATGGGGGAAGGGTCTACGGGTCAATTTTGTGCAGAACAGCAAAGAACAGGAAAATAAGAGTTTTTAGGCTAGATAATAATAATAATAAATCAATGTTTTATAAGTTTAGTATTATATTGAAGTAATACGTACAAGTTATCTTAATTAATGCAGTAAGAGTTAAGAACAAGATACTGTAGAAAAAATCAAAAATATAAACAAACTTAAACATAAAAAATAACCGAAGTAAGACCAACTAAAAATTGTACTGTTTGAAGTGTCTTTTATGCCGTTAACTCCCTATAAAACTGTTTATTTTCTTCTTTAAGGTATGGTATCATTTTCTTCAAATCTGCTTTCTTTTCATTGTTCAGTCGCGTTGCCATCTCCAGCTGAGGTAGATTCATACCTACAATATGGTTCTTTGTGATATTCTTTTTGAACACATTCGTAATCTTCCATGGTTCAAGATCACTAAAGGTTTTTTTTGTACATACTCTGCCGGGGTTGTCTTTTGATACTTTAATCCAAACTACTTTTGATATTTCTAACTGCGTAGTGTTAAGATAAAGTTGGGCTAGCTTGGCAAAGTTGAAAAAGTCCTCTTCCTGCATCATGGTTGTTTCAAACGAATTCTTATCACATGCGTTGCAAATAACTCTGCAAAGGTCCATTGGCACTTCACACTTGGCTTTCTTTCTTTTTTTCTCTATGATTGCAAAATCACGGTCACAACTAAGATATGAGTGGCCTGACACGACAAACTTATGCTGGATCTCGTCAGCATAGCCATTACATACTAGATAAATCCATAAAAACACAATCATTTTATTTTTATTTTGTCCGCAGCAGTTGTCACTCCAAATTACAAACTGTTTCTTGTGAGTAATATTACTTTTTATACCTTTGAGGACGCAACTTGCGATTTCATTTCCTCCACGACCACTGATACCCTCGTGCCATAAAAACATTAAGCCTTTATTATTATCAGCCTTGTGTATACATAAGTTGTAGCACGAAAGTTGACGCAAATAGTACATTTGACAATGCGTTAACGCAGGTAACGACAGAACTTTTTCTAAGTCTATTGCCATTGTACACATATTACTCGTAGGAGTTTGAGACTCCTGATGGTCATTTTTCATAGCTGTGCGTGCGCTTTCCGCTTTACGATGATGCAATTCCAGCGAGGCGCGATTTTTTACTCTGTTTACGGAGTCATTCATTATTTTACTGTGAAGAAGGTCACATGTATTACATGTATCTTGTCTGGGGCGATGAAACCTAAGTTTTGGGAATTTTTGTCGAACTATTTTTTTGAAGTAACCGTACTTGACTGTAGTCGTCGGGTTACGTTCCACGAAAGACGCATGCAGCTTGTTGTAATTTAAATCTGGGCTCAAATACAAATTTGAACTTTTAGCCCTAGTATAATGGCTCTCTTCTTTGGGCAAAGCAGCAATGTGTTCAATAATGAGCCTTTCATCTTCTGCTGAATACTTTCTCTCTCTAATTTTGTTTCCCCTCCGCTCAATGTAAGTAACGTCCCCACGCTTTATCGCCTTAACGAGAGTTTCGACCCTACGCTTTGTAATACCAAAAACATCGAGAAACGTTTTCTTGCAAACTTGCTTATAAACACCTTTGCCATCTGGGATAGTAAAAAAGACAGATGCCTGGCGTCTACTTGCTGTGGGATCCACATATGAACCATGGCGCCTGCGTTTAACACCGAAAACAGATATCAGCCCCATTAAGTAGGAATTTTGTTTAACATTATCTCCCAGTTGATAAAACTTATTGAACAGACTGAGTTTTTGATCATGCCCGATATTTTTGCAGTCATAACGGCATTGACATTGTACCTGACAATCAAACAAAGGGCCTAGCTTTAGATAACTTTCCAAATATGTGCAAACTAACAAACTTACCTCTTCGACTGGTGGTTATTTTTCAGGTAATCTTCCACAGGATCTTTGATTCTTATTAAACTGTGCTAGCCTCCCTTCACCTTTCTTCTTACGTATTTTAGTTAAATCAGTTGTTTCCATATTTATAAAACCCACAAAATAACACTAATCACAAGCACTGATCACTAAACATAATCTCTAACAACTCAGAGAGTAACAAGACACATCGCCCGTTTTTTACCAAACAGTTGGTGCTTCATAGCACACCACGCATCATAGCGGATTTTTTAAAAACTAGTTCCACAACAAACTAATGATAGCTCACTTTATACGGATTTGCATTTGGTACATTGCACGTACTTCACAACCTAACGCGAAAATGAATTATTTGGCACTTAGCCCGGATTTTACATTCAGTCTACATATTATGTTGCCCAATATTTTGGTATCAATCTCCAAGTTTGGCTAATCATAGAAACCCATTTGGCAAATCACTCACGTGATGAACATCGATCATGAGACAAGTAGTATCAAAAATGCTTATGAATGCTGTATCTACAGGGTAGCTATAATATTGATGACTACAGACCGTTATCTACTTCCAAACCTCTCTGTCAATGGTCTCGTTCTTCCAATTTCTGAAACCAAGCATATTCTTAGAGTTCTTTTCCGCCTCGTTCCTTGCATTTTCTTGTTAAGCTGTTGCTTCGGGATACTTTATTCTTTCATTTTGACCACATTGATTGCAATCAATGAATCTTGTACTCTGAAAGAATTGGCTCCTTGTAGTAGCTGTATAGCTCCTTGTCATATCTTCTTCTCCATTTATTATCTCCATTTTATATGTTGGTTTTTGATTTAGTGTCCAGATCTCACAACGTGGAATATATAAAATTGTTTTATAGATCCGGAATGTTATGTTTCTATCTATATCTTTAGATTTGATGATATGCGCGATTGCATAGTAAGCTATGTTGGTAAGCAGTATACTTCTTTCTATTTCCCCATTTTGGCTACCATCCCTAGCTAATTCCATTCCAAAATATAGGAATTTCGCGACAACCTCAATACCATCCAGCCCAACCCACGAATCTACCAAACCAACTCTGCATCATTAACACATTTGCATTATTACATTACAGTTAGATTCCTTTTTGCTTTGGGGTTAGGTTGCGTTGGTTTACAGTTAGCTTGGCTTGGTTTATTTAAGATTGAATTGGTTTGAAGTTTTATTATTTTCTTTGTTATTAAGTTACTTCCAAGTTAACATTCGTTGAAGTTGAATTACTTTATGGCTATATCCATCTAAGAGTTGATTAAGTTGCGGTGGAGTTGCATTACTTTATTATTATGTTTCATTGTGGTTGGCTTAGCTTGATTTATATTGAGTTAGGTTGCAGAAAGGTTGAATTCGGTTTGAGCTGGTAGCTTTGGATTTGAGGTGGCCAGCTTAGGAGTTGAATTGGTTTGTTTTTGGGTTAAGTTAGGTTGGTTTGCAGATAGGTTGGCTTGGTTGTATGTATGTATGTATGTAGGAAAGCGGAGGGTATGCTTACGCATACAGCACCTACGCCCCAACGGGCCCCTTGTACGTCCTCCTACACTCTCTCCGGCTACATCCGGAGATGGAATTTCCGAAGGCTAGGATACAGCTCAGAGGTGTGTTCTTGATGTCATCTGTGGTCGGCCATTCCTCTCCGAAGTCTCTCATTCTGAGGTCTTGCAGAGTGGGGCATTCACACAAGATGTGTCGGACCGTCTCCTCGCTCTCTTTACAGAGGCGACAGAGAGGACTAACAGCAAGCTTAAGGTTATAAAGATGCTTGTTTACCTTACAGTGACCCGTGACGAGTCCCGTTACAGTTCGTAGAGCGTTTCTACCAAGCCTTACGAAAGACAAGGCTGCCTCTGCTGAAGGATAATGTAATACTTCCTTAGACAGATGGCAACCCTTAACCCTATCCCACCAGTTCATGAACTTTTTGTGGGTAAAATCTTTAATTATCTCAATCTGAGTTGATAAGGACGGAGCGATTATCGGTTCAGGCGAACATGGCGCTCGCTTGGCAGCCCTTTTGGCAAGCCTATCAGCGTGCTTGTTACCTGAACAAGTCGAGTGTCCTTTTATCCATTGAAGTATGACACAGTTATGCACTGCGGCCTTCTCCAATGTCAGATGACAACCCATAACAAGTCCTGAGGTAATTGTTATTCTACTCAGGGCTAAAATAGCTTGTCTACTGTCAGTATAAATTGTAAAAGTCTTACCTACCAAGTTGGATCTGACAATAACGTCAGCGGCAAGTTGTATGGCGATTAACTCCGCCTGTATGACGGTGGTACTTATACCTAAAGGTTCAGATACGTGGAGTCGGAGATCGTACGAGAAGACTCCGGCTCCAGCTCCTTCCCGTCTCTTTGAACCATCAGTGTAGATTTTAAGGCTGTTTTTTACCTCTACTTCTGTGGAGCTTGGGTGGGTGAGATATTTCTTCGTAAAAATGTGTTGTAGGGGTGTAAAGTCCGTTACACACTC